AGACGGTGACATGTAGAACGGCAATTGGCACGTGACACAGTTACACAGATCACACGCCATAGGTAACTGCCATAAGGCAAGCGCACGTAGCTATTAAAATAACATAGCACACGCTATAGATAGCTGCCATGAGGCAAGCGCACGTGGCTATTAAAACGGCACAGCACATGCCATGGGTAACTGCCATGAAGCGAGCGCATGTGTCTATTAAAACAACACGACACAGGGTGCGCCGCGATCGACCAGGTCGGTTGCGATGGCTCGCTGCGAGAGTGACGTCGCAGCGCCACTCAAATTATTAATTTTTTTTTAAATTAAAAATTTCCTTTATTTCCAAAAAATCCTATTACAAAGATTTGTCGAGTCTTCCCTTTAAGTAGTCAGAGACACTTGTGTTGGGTATAACTCGCTACTTCCCTTACGGTTGGCTGAGTAAGATAAACTAGGTAGGTATATTATATCTAAGAGGTTAGGATGGTTAACATTTTTTTACACTAAAATTTAACGTTTTTGTTATAATTCAAATTTAAATTTAAATTGCGGCTCTAGTGGCGATGAACTATTTTCATGTAAGCATGTATGGTAGTATATAAATGTGCGTGAGTGTGTATATATGTTTGTGTGTGTCTGTACATGTGTGTGTGTGTGTGTGTGTGTGTGTCTGTGTGTGTACATGTATATGTGCACGTGGTGTGTGAATGAGTGTATGTATGTGTGTATACGAGCTCGTGTCTGTGTGCGAGTGTGCATGTGTGCTGTGTTGGTTACCTGTATGCCCTACGGATAAGGTTCCTTGGGATCGGTATGAACATTCCGCATACAGGACATGAACAACCAGCATTAATTGAACCAAAATTTTAACAAATTCTTATGAAAATGTTTTCAACATCTTCATAGCTAAGTGAATCCAACCATTCTATTACAGTTTTCCTGCAAGTGTAAGATAACATGGGGTATATTTTAAGTATACTGTTTACTTTGTTGTATATATAAGCAGACTGCCTACCATATTGTCTTCTAGCGAACGCAGTACGTGCGGTAGTGACGGGTGCAACGACATCCTTCTTTCTTTTATGACTCAGGTCGACATAAGGCAGAGATTTGTGGCACGTTAAGATGAGATTCAGAATATAAAGTTTTCGGACTGTGAGTAGGCCACTCATTCTATATAGTGTATCAGTGGGAAAACGATAAGGTTTGGAGTAGATGACATTGATAAGTGATCTCTGAGCTCTTTCGAGTGCAAGAAAGTGAGTTTTATCTGCTCCTTCCCAAATCGAGATACAGTAGGTGAGCACCGATGGGGCCATGGCCACATAGATTCGGTTTTTAAGTTTGTTACACATGACCTGCCGTAGTGATTTGAACATATGAGTTTCCTAGTGCGGTTTGTTAAAAGCTCCAAATGTGAGTGCCAGCTAAGTCGTTGGTCCAGCATTATACCTAGGTATTTAGTTTGGCTAATTTTTTCAATAATAGGACAGTCGCAAATCAGGTTACCAGGGTTAGAGCAAGTGTGAATTTTAAAGGCAAAGTTATGGTTAGGTTGGGATTTATTAGAAGGAGTGAAGCAGACGTAGTTTGTTTTCTGAGTGTTCAAGGTAAGATGGTTGTCTCTAAGCCAGTTATATACGTTAATAAATCCCCTCTCAGTACTTTCTAGAAAAGTATTCCACGTGCTACCAGTAAAAACAAACGCAGTGTCATCCTCGTAGGAGTATATCCTACACCCGACATTCCTTAGATTACATAGATCATTTATGTATATTAAAAAGAGAGTCGGGCCCAGGACACTACCCTGTGGGACTCCAAAACTAGTAGTGGCCTTATCACTGTGTAAATTATTTATTTTTACTTCCTGAGTTCTTTCCTGTAAGTAACTTTTAAAAAGCATGAGTGGAGTATCCCTAATACCTGAGCATTCTAGCCTGTATATAAGAATAGGCACAGAGACGGTGTCGAAAGCCTTTTTCAAGTCCAAAAAGACTGTAAGACATTTGCTGCCATTGCTTCACCAACTACAGTAGAAGTGAGATCAAGAATAGCATCTTGAGTTGAAAGACCCTTTCTGAAACCATATTGAGAATTGGATAGTAGTCTAAATTTATTTATGAATACAACCTATCTATTGTTGAGCAACTTTTCAATAATTTTAGAGATGGAGGTGAGGACAGAGATAGGTCTATAATTGCTTACATCCTCTCTGTCCCCGCTCTTATGTACAGGGGTTACTATAGACCTCTTTAAGGCGCTGGTAAAGACACCAGTACTAAAGCAAAGGTTTGCAAGGTTACGTATATACGGTATAACAAAGAGCTCTAGCATGCTTTAAAAAACCAGTGCTGATACCATCCCATCCAGGTGAGCTCCCTGAGTTTAGACACATCAAGATGCGCTCAACTTCTTTGTCGTCAGTGTTTAGCAGGACGAAGGATGAGGTTTGTGTATAATTAGTGGTAGGGGCTACTAATACACTACTTCTAGTACCCGAAACTTGTAGCAATTGTTTCAGCTAAGCTAGCGCCTATACAGGAAAAGTAGTTGTTGACATAGTTTAGTGAATCTAGTGGTAGCGGTTTTAAGTTAATTAGAGCTACATTATTTGACTTAGGTGGTTTGTACCGAGTGATCTCATTAACTGTTTTCCAGAACTTACGGTGGTTATTAGCAGATTTTTTAATAAGTTCTCCATGATGCTGTCTTTTAAGTTTTTTAATAAGGTTGGAACAGAAATTTCGAAAACGTTTGTAAGTTATTTTTAAGATTATATTGTGAGGGTCATTTTCTACCTTTCTTAGCCTTATACACCTCAGAGCTTCGGGAGTTATCCAGGGTTCTAATACCCTTTTACTGTTAGAAGAGTGGGTTAATTTAGAGTTTTGTTGGATATCTGACTTAATTATATTAATAAAATGGTTGACAAATTCTTCAGGGCTATTTGGCATTTCTGAAAGGGGGACACTCGTCGATATGAGGGTATTATATGCCCCATCAAAATCTGTAATTAACTTAGACTTAATGGGTCGTGGTTCGGTGGTCGTGGGTCGATGTTTTAGATAACTGAAGTAACAAAAGATTGTGATCTGTGATCGTCTTATTAAGAACGGCAATAAAAGCTGCAATGAGGTTGACTTCAAGTTTTATCATTACGTGGTCAAGGCAGGATCTCTTTCTCGTAGGTAAAGTGTGACCAGGCAATAGGCCATGCAGGGATAATACTTCTAAGTAGCTGAGTCTATTACGGCGATACTGAGGCTTCTCTGTAGCTACGGGAAGCAGGTTAATATTGTTACGAGCTTGAGGTTCGTGACAATAAAAATTGCCAATAGAATTACCAAAATTAACCCTTTAATTCACTTTGCACTAATTAAAACTTAAAAGACTAATAATTAATCACACTAATTCACTTTATTCCGCTCCGAAGCTTCGCTTGTCTCGCCAAATTCAATACTTCCCCGATCGCACCTTGCAGCGCCTATTACACATTAGCACCGAAACATTCAGAACATTCAAGTAAAAACGCGCACCAATCGACAAGGCGCCGAAAGTTCGAGTGTCGGCTTCTAGAAGCTTAGTTCTTCGTTTCGACACCAGATGGCGCTGTCGGTTGAAAGATTAGTGATGTCATTTTCTGGAAAGCTCCCACCGCTCTCGTCCCTGACACTACATGACGTCAACTTAGGCGCGCAACAATATTTATGTCACCTATGACAGACACATTTTTATGATGACTAATAGTTTCCAGGTGTAAGTCTAGGGAACTAGTAAAACTATCGGCGTTGAGAAAAGAGGGGGGAGCGGTATATACCCAGAAAGACATATTTATCAATCTCTATTTGTAACCCAGTAGCGTCAGAGAGGTGAACCTTAGCTCAGTGACTCAGGAGACATGCAGGAAGTCTTACCAATTTGTCACTCCATCTAGTGGGAGGTTGGCCTAAACTTCGCCTACCGGTACGAGGCTGCCACTCAAGAACCTTTTTTCCCCAATCGGTTGTTGGTTCTTTGAGTTATATGGCCGGCCCATTGCCACTTCGGCTTACTAATCCGTTGGGCTATGTCGGTTGCTCTGGTTCTACTGCGGATATACTCATTTCTAAGTTTATCACGCAGAGAAACCTCGAGCAAAGCCCTCTTCGTAACTCACTGAGCGACCTTTAGCATCGTTAAACGGAGTGGTGAAGGACCATGTCTCATTATTAAATGTTAAAAAGTAACTTATTCCTTGTTTAATTTATGGCATATTCAGTTTTAAAAAATATGTGAAAATCATAATTGTTCATTATCACTCTAGAATTCATTTAAACCACTTTTTTGAAAATTGGTGTAATACCCTATTGAAATAAACGATGGAATTTGAAAAAAACTCATTATCATTTTATTTTCCACGTGTTTAAATTGGTCCATAGAGTGTGCCACCCATAGAAATCTCGTCTAGGGTATCGGTAATGCTAAATCCGGTACTGTCTCTGATAAAACTGAAGATGCAGAAGGTACCAAATAATTTAGAGCTCCTCTCGAAAGGAATCTGGTGAAATGGCGTCTGTTATTCCAAAATTTTAAAGGATTATCTGAATTCCAGCAGTTTTAGTGAGTGGCGACAACGGTTTCTACTGGAAATGTATCATATTTGATACATTTTCGACACTTGATAATTTATATCGATATATTGAAATAAAAAATGATAGCATTCTCTGTCCACGATATAAATATATCGATATTTTTCTGCAAGCCTATATTGTTGTTGGTAATTGTTAAACGGTCAAATATATATACAGTACAGTATAGTAATCTATATTCAAATGTCAATTTTTGTTTTACTTTAGCTCAGATCATAAAAATATTAATTTGTTTGCTTGTATTTGGCATCGTATATTTCATAATTCCATCAGCGTGAAACCTAATCTTTGTTGCTGAAGGTGTTTGTGTAACTTAAAATAATTTTTACAGAACACCTAAATGAATATATTTTTTAAATTAGGTATTCAAAAACCTTAAAAATGTGTAAGTACTTTTATTGTACACTAATAATAAAATGAATCAAACAAAAACAATTAACTAACTACTTTATTCTGTATTAATTAACTGAATACTTTAGTCTGTACGAAATAACAAAAATAATTTATTCGGGCTACCGCCACCCATGAACAACCGCAACACCAGGGGAATTGCAGGTGCGTTGCTGGCCCTTTAGAAAGGAGTAAACTCTTTTCTTGAAGGTCCCTAAGTCGTATCGGTCGGGAAAAATCGCCGGTGGTAAACAATTCCACAGAGAGGTTGTCCACGCGGAAGAAAACTCCTAGTGAAACATACAGTGGTGGACCGCCAAGCATAAAGATGGTGTGGATGGTATCAGGAGGTTTACCGCGTAATGCGTTCATGAAATTTAGCGGCTGGGATTAATCTGAACAAATCCTCAGAGCACTCCCCATTGTATATGCGAAAGAAAATGCAAAAAGATGCAACAACTCTTTGCAGCACCAGTGAATCAAGCCCATCGCAAAGTATTCGGTTGTCGACGATTCGAGCCGCTCTGCACTGGATGCGGTCAAGTGTAAGGAGCTGGTACTGGTGAGCCCCAGCCCAGAGATGGGAACAATATTCCATGTGTGGCCGAACCTGCGCCTTGTAAAGTTGCAGGCGGTGTGCCGGCATAAAATTCGCTCTGCTGAGCATGCCAAGCTTTTTAGAGGCCAATTTGGCCTTCTTCTTCCAAGTGACCACGAAACTGCACTTCACTCTATATGTCGACGCCGAGGATTCCGATACTGGCTGAAGGCCTTGAAACTTAGGAGATACGACAAAAGGGGTTCCTTTTAGCGGTTAACCCGCAAACTTGTGTCTTCTGGGGGTTAAACTGGACTAGATTTAGTCACCCCCAATCCGAGACTCTGTTCAGCAAAGACTCGATTTCAGACACAAGTTTGTTCCGGTACTCTGAGACGTTTTCCCAAGAAATATTAGCACGGTCGGTGTACAGAGCATCACCATCGCTGTCATCTGTATAGCAATGACTGAGCAACTTCTTTATTTTTTGCATTAGTTCAATAGTGTTCCAGTATTTAAATCATCATATATTTAAAGGCCAGATTAATTTTGCTTAAAAAAGCTTGTAAAAAATGATATATTAACGGGACCTGCTTTACTTAGTTTTAATCAATCAAAAGCAACAGACTGCACAACATACTCTAACTATTAATAAATTGAGTATTTAGTTTAATCAACCACAATCAGCTACTTGTAGCCAGCTAAACCCTAGAAGCCAGTTAAATAAAATATAGTTATTTGTCCAGTTACAGGACTACTATAAAGAAATATCTATTTTAATTTATAAAAGTACACTATTAACATTTAAATAAAACTAGTTTTTTATGGGTTTTATTGTGTATAATAACTTATTTTATATTCTCGATGTTTTGAGTACTTTACAGCACTCCTGTGACCATGACCCCGTGACTCATGATGGTCCTTGTCCCTAATCTATTCCAATTATTATTTAACTTTTGTTTTGCAAGTAACACTATGTCCGAAGAGTAAATTACATTACATGGTAAACCATTTTGAATTGAGTTTTTAGCCATCAGATCAGCTCTTTCATTGCTATTTATGCTACTATGGCCTGGAATCCATGCTAAAGAAACCTAAATGCCCTTGAGATGACATCTATACAATATGTGTTTGATTTGAAGGATTAAGAGTATCTTCTTATATTTACTATGGAACTGGTTTGATAAAATTGCTAACAAATAACTTTTGGAGTCAATAAGAAATATTGATGTGGTCCTATATATATCAGAGCTTCATGAATTGTCATGGCCTCATCAGTAAAAGTGGAAGAAATAGAATGTTATTTAAAATTAAGAATTATTTTGTATTTGGGACTAGATAATACAAATTGATGCTCCAGTGCAACTTCTATCTGACTTTTTGGAGACGACAGTGTATATTATAAGCCAGCCTTTCTATAATTTATGGATTATTCCGTTTATCCATCCTAAGAAATCGCATGTTGGTTTATCCACCCTAGAAGGAGTGGATAGGGTATCACAGTATCATTATTAGCACCTGCAAGAGCTAGGTTCTCTATTAAACAGTTTGCATTGGCTGCACTTTTAAATTCGACTGAGATTCTATTGCCCCCTTCTTCTTTAACACTGTCACTAACAACATTTTTAATATTATTGTGGTAGAGAAAATGATCAAACTTTATCAGTTTTAAAACTACTCCTGATGATAAATCGTCTACTATCTTACTTAAGCTTTGGTCTCTTGATCGTAACGCACAACATTGCAGTATGCGGCTCAAACGCAGCGTCACGACGCAGCATTTAGCATCTCTGCGGAGAAGTGGTCGGTTGATTTTGCCGCAGCTACCAAAGCAGATGTGTCAACATGAATGATGAACATGAACAACAATAGTTTTGAAATTTGTGCTTTGTTTGAGGAGGAGGAAGAAAGAAGTTTGTCTTTATTTTTATATAAAGAGGGATAATTGCGGATTAATTATATTAAATTATCTTTAAACAAATCCATTGTCAACCTGTGACGCACATCGCAGCGTCACAACGAGAACGACGCCGCGCAGTGCTAAGCACCCGCTCCCCACTTCACTGCGCTTGCCCTTCGCTGCTGACACATACTGCGACGGAACAAGAGACCATTCTATACGTTTTTCATACAATTATGTGTTCGGCACCACTTGCTGTAGACCACAGCATTGTGTGTTATGATCAAGAGACCAAAGCTTTACATGTAATGGGCGCATTGTCGTCATTAGAGTATTTATACTTTTTTTCTATGTATTCAGGATGGGTATAAGAAGACTGAATACATGGATCTGTAATTAATCTTTTCTGAGGATGAACTAAATTATTGATGAAATATAAATTGTGATCTTTTACGACTCGACTGTTCTATTTCGATTGGTATATTTTTTGGGAACAGTATGAATGGCACATGGAACCTCGTATAGATCAGGAGGATCTTATTCCATTTTATTTTAAATTTTATATTTAAAACAATAAAATTTAGTAATTGTGTTGTTTTAAATGTAGTTAATATACAAAACAACACAATTACTAAATACTTACGGATTTATAACCACTAAAACTAACACCTGCATAAAGAATAAACAAAAAAAAAGTAAATCAACAGCTCTCAAAAACACGAAATAGCCAGAAACAGAACGACACTTGTATACCTCACAGAGATCGAGGTCTGCCCTCTTGTAGGTTTTGTAAAGTTAAGCCATTTTGTCATTATTGAGCAATGATATTTTACGTAAGATACCTGTCATTTAAATGAAAAGTTTAAAAAGAAGCAAAATTTTATTTAAATTTTATGTACCTACATTCAATTATAATGTCGTGAAGTGTATATTTTATGGTTATAAATGAATGTCTTTCATTATTTATGTTTCTTTTAAGATGGAAATCCTATAAACCATGTGTACATTGCTGATGGCTTCCTAGATGATTGTGAACAATTGATACAAAGATGTTTACAAAGACAGAACATATTAGACTTCCAGTCATTTTGCATCGTTTGGCAGGAAATGAATATGGGATGTCTTTATCAGTAAGTATCATAATTTCGTTAGTATGTACCTATATATTTTTATGTACCATTAGCTATTCTTGTCACAAAACCAGCAATTGTCACTTATTGCTTGCTTAAACTATTTATATTTTCACTGGAAATAATGAAAAAGTTACCAATTTGTTTATTTTTCGCACTCTTTTTAATACATAATTTCTTCCTATTTTTATTCCTAGAGACTATATAATGCTTGAAAAACCGCTTGCTTTTGAGCCGTGCTCACTAACAAGATTGGGCCGTCGATATTAGTATAAGTTAAGAATCAGTCAAATATATTGTGTTTGTTTATTGATTACAAGGTGGTACGGTGGTTTAAATTATATATAATTGGCATAAATCTAGTGCGTGTTCCAAATATATTTTTACAAAGTCAAATTCACTATACTACTTCCTGGAACATTTTGCTATTTGTTATGTGATTAAGAAATGTCGGTTTCCTCGTAAGTGTGTTGCCTTCACAGCAAGCGAGCAATCAGACTTAGAACTGCAATTAACAACTTCGTTAGTGCCAGGATCATTCAAACCTGGATTGTTCCCTTATTATGACATTCTTTTTCTTTATTAGGAATAGCAAACAACTACATAGTATAATGTAACATAAAATAATGTTAGCTAATGTAAAAATAAGAATAAATATGTAGTCAAATACACTATCCACATATTAACAAATGTGAACGTAAATATAAATTGTCGGACGCGATCAGATGCTAAGCAACAACAGCTGATATAAATGCAGCTGATATAGATTACGTTGAATGCTAACCCCCTGAACTACAAGGATGGTAATAAATTATAAACATATATGAAAATTTTACTAAATCAGTGTTTGTACAGAAATAAAAATATATATCTTTGATTGTAGGTCCAACAACATAAATATATATGTATATTTGGTTGGGATACAAAATTTCCTAGGAATATTGTTGTGTTATTTCAAGCAAAGCCTTGACAATAAACTGGCGTAAATTCTTGAAACTACCCTACAGTAATAAAAAAAATACGTGTGGCACTCGGTGACTGCCGCGGTAAAGCTATTGCATAGCATTTTTTATCAACTTATGCAATTATAATTATTTATTTATTTTATTTATGCAGTTAAGTCTTTGATATTAAATCAAGTTACACTTTTTGAGCGTGATGACCGATAAGAAAACAATTTTTTTCTCTTATTGAATAAATGAGAAGTTAATATTGTTTAAAATATTTTTAATATCTTACAATACATGTAGGTTATTCAGGAATTTTTATCATTGAGTTAGCAGCTAGTGTACACGCATACGTCTAGTCGCACGCACACAAACACCGTGCCGATGTCTGCCGAACTGAAACGACGTTAGACGATGCACGGCTTTCAACGCCACATCTCCGTGCCCGTCGGAGTGGGGAGCGTGAGGTTTTTTCGTTACGGAATTTCTGGATTCGGTCCCCGCGCTCAAGGCCCGCGATAGAAGCTATGCAATAGTTAATAATTATACATGGTCCTTCGAGCCGGATAATGCGTCTATAAAAAATATTTTAATCAATGTGTGTAAATACTTTGTCATTTTGAATTTTCATTTTAGAGGCAGAACTTCAGGTGCAGAAGTAGCAGAGCTGACAGAAGAAGTCTTACAGATAGCAAAACATTATATGATTGCAAATACAAGCAACTATGAAGTATGTTTAGTTTAGTTATCCAAAAGTTTAAGAGAAATATCTCATTGTTTAAATGTGTTGGTTTTCGTGTTGTGTCATCATATTGTGGGTGTTGTAAAAGATGACTATGGGTTAGGCCAGAAAAACTTTATGGCTTCCGATAGATGGCAATATGTTGATATCATGTAGAACACTCTAGACATCACTGGATCAAACCCGAAGCAGAGCATAAAATTGCTAGACTGGTATTGGTTGATAACCCGTCCCGTTCCAAGCATAATGACTGTGGCAAACCCTCTTATGTGACATTCTATGGGGAGGCCTATGTTCTGCAGTGGCCTTTGATAGCGTGTAAAGAATTTCGCTCCCTCTCTTGACAGTTTTAAATGCTCGGAAATGGCCTTTTTATTTTTTATAAAAGTTATAGCCTATATACTTCCCACTGCTGGGCACAGGCCTCCCATTTCTGAGAGGGTTTTAGGGCAAGGAAGTGTCCGCCGCGCAGCCCCAATGCGTGTTGGCGAACTTCACATGTCTCCGAAATATTTTTTTTTATTCCTCAGACATGCAGGTTTCCTCACGATGTTTTCCTTCACCGCCGAGCACGTGGTAAATCAGCACTTAAAATTGCAATTAAAAATTTCATTGGTGCCGGCGGGGATCGAACCCGGGTTACTCGCGTTCTGTTATATTTACAGTGAGCGTTAACCATCTGAGCTACCACGCGTCTTTTTATTTTTTATTTATTTAATATGAATTTATAAAATTTTTAAGGTAAATACGTTATTAAATTGATTTATATACCTACAGTTGTTTATTCAAAATACAACTTTGCGAATAAAATACTTAAATCCATCCATTCATTACATTCTAAGTTCAGCAGTGGCTAAATATAGGGGCCATGTAGATTGTATCTTATGGAGATATTTGCCACGCTTGGCAGGTGGGTTCGCAACCGCATGTTTTCATTTTCTAGTTGTTATTAGGAAAACGTTGCTCCTGGTTTGTGTCCATAAGTCGGTTCTTATGACACCCGCGGGGCGATAATATGAAGAAGTGGATATTCTTAAATCGTTACTTCACAGGTCTAAATACAAAAATAAATATTCGTTCATTTTATTACATTATATGCTCTTTAGTTCTAATTCAAATTCTGGGCACAATCAGGATAGATCTTTTAAGGTGGATCTTATGTATACATATTGATACTGGAAGATTTAAAAAAAAAACAAGTGTTTTAGTCTTTACAAATATAATTGCGGCACTATATGCTTTTATTGCCAATCGCTAAATAAATTAAAGAGTCGTCATTATAGCCGAAGTTAACTAGGAAAATACCTGTCTCATCGTTATCAAACCTTAATTATTGAAAAATGAATATATAATGCCACACACACAACGCGCAGAGGGCACGCACGCACGCACGCACGCACGCACGCACGCACGCACGCACGCACGCACGAGCACACACACACACACACACACACACACACACACACACACACACACATCAAGTATACAATTATGTCGTCTAAAATCACTAAGCTTATAAAGGTACTATAACCAAAAGAGAAAAGGCTTTATGTACACCAAGTTTGCTTGCGTCAATAATTTGGTCGTTGTGTATTTTTATGCCTACACATTTTATTAACGTACGTAGCATATTTTATACTCGTACAAAGTGATGCAACACACAACGGGCTGTCGTAACAGTATAATCCTTTTCTCTGCTTAGGAATCTGTAGCCGGTCTATTCTTAGTGTACAGCCTACTAAATTTACAACCGTACCCCGGCTTCGCGGCCTTACGTTTAGTACCAGAAGATGTAGCAGCCATCAGTCGACTAGAAGCGGTTGCAAGAAGGGAACGGCGCCATGATGTGCTCTATATTCTTGCATCGGTACTGATCAAGGGGCCATGTCATTACCACGCCGCTGAAAGAGAAAGGGGTATGGAAGCTCCTATTAAGAAGTATTTGGATGGTAAGAGACCCTTTAAAAATACAATATATTGTGATGTTGTGAGTTATGCTGTTGGGATAAGGGGGAAAAGGGATAGTGCACGCAGTTGAGGGACAGAGGGGGGTGATCTTACCTAATTAAATTTTAATATCTTTTATATTCGGCGAAAGAAATTACAATTACGTAACTCCCAAGTTATATAATATACTAAATAAAACAGTGTGCACAAGAAATGCTTCAAATCATACATTTAAAAGTATGTTAGTATATAATTGGCTTAAAGAATGTAGCTATGACAAATGCGAAAATGTAATAGCTCCATATGAATAACTAATATATGTGCAGTGCAACAAACACGCTACTCACTCACACACATACACACACACACACACACGCTGTATATAGTGTTAACTGAGTATTAAATATATATCAACGTTTCTGTAATGCATTTTTGACACAAAAGTGAGTTACTGAATGGGAAGGAACTGACTACTGAAATACAGGGTATCCTAGTTTGGGAGTCAGGACTCAATGATGTATGAAATTATAAGTGTCAAATAAAGAAATTATTATTATTATTATTGATTTCCGCAAAGTAACGCGTGATTAATTAATACAATATGGTTACGCGAAAACGATTTGTGCATTTTAATTTTGTTCGAGGGTATATTTGCTAAGTGTTTATCCATCTTTTGACCTCATGTCCCTTCCGTACAAACTGAAAGGGGAGGGGAGGGGTCTAGAAAGTGACGCGATTCTTTCGACCAATGAGACGCGCGCCCGACCGAGGTGCATTGGTGGGAAAGCCGAGGCAATATAGGCTCGCGCGCTGCCCTCGAGCGGCCTCTTGCCTTCGCGTCGCTATTCTGAACTGCACAACCTGGGACAGTCGCGCCCCAGAAGTAACCGCCTCACATAGTGTGAGATATCGTCGCGCACCGCTCTCTTCCTTCGTACCACTAGCCTGGAACGCATCTCTGGGGCGCCCCAGAAGAACCCACCTCACGTCGCATCACCGCAACGGAAGCGACGTCCGCCGCATCAGAATCACACCCCGGTAAGTGTGTTTCCTGTAATTATGCTCCCAATTGAGCATGTTGTTTGTTAGTTAACCCGCCCCATTTTGTTTCTCCTAATGTGCTCAAGTAGAATTCCATCCTAACCTTGGCAAGCAATAGATTTGGAAGAGCGAGTGCATTGTCCAAGGTTGCCGCGTGCCACGTCCGCCGTCTTGTTGAGGCATAAGAAGCCAACCGCGTATACAGTCCACCTCATATAACATCTCGCACAATAGGGTCAAGGCTCGATCTGGGAATCTAACTCGGGAACCCCTAGGCCCGCCGCCCAACCATTTTCTGGTCATTCGCGCGGATTTGGAACTGGTGCCCTGTCATCGAGTCGAACTGCTGAACCAATTCCTTGGACAATATACTCTAATTTAATATTGGATAGATTTTATGTAGTTTTTGTTTTAGTTTAAATTTAAATTTTGGTTAGTTTATTCGCATAGGTAAATGGATACTTATTTATTGAAATAGTTAGACCCGCTTAATTTTATTTACTTACCCGCTATTTGTAACATTATATGAGTTCTGAATTCCAACCTAGTCGACGCGTATTATCTCGTTTGATTGCAAGTTACCTCCACGCAAGAAAAAAAAATATTACTGACAAAGTTTTCAATTTAACGACGTAATACGGCACGATAAGACGTTGTGAGATATAGTTGTGGCGCATTATATTCATCTTCCAACGTGGTACGATATTGTTCGTGATTAATCTAATATTAATTATAGAGATTCAAGATGGCAGTTAGTGGAAATGAAATTGAACTTAAAACTCTTTATGCCAAGAGTACTCTTTTTACGTATACAATATATAAGTGATCATATAAAAAATATTAACGTAGATTCAGTGCGGGAAACGTTTGTATGTGAAATCGAAACGGTGGACTCTGCGATAGGAATACGAAAATATATTAGACAAAATTAGTAGTTTAGAATTACAAATCGACCCTAAGTATACAGTGAACTATCAATCACTTCTATCATTTGAAGATACGTTGTGTTGCATAAAAAGGACGGCAAAGCTCTTACAGTCTCCAGCCCAAAGCAAAGCAAAACCAGAAATTCAGGTACGCCCACGTGAATCACTTAGATGCCCCCCATAGTTATTCCGGTATTCAATGGAGATATTAAAACTTGGTTGTTGTTTATTAACAGCTTTCGAAACACCATACATAATAATCCATCGTTATCGGACGCTGAAAGATTGTATTATTTAATTAGTAAATTGAGTGGTAGGGCACAGTCCATTTGTTCGGGTTTCACACCAACAGCAAACAATTATTGGTTAATATTCGAAACGCTTAAAAACAAATATGAAGATAAGCGAATGTTAGCCTCTTCATATTTAGACCAGATATTCGATCTTAAAGCTATATCATCCCCGAACATCACTGGCTAGAGCAGTTTTTAGATAAATTTGTAGCATCGGTGGCTGCGCTCAAGAACCTGAAATTTAATGACCTTATGGACGTTGTGTTTCTCCATATCGCCTTAAAGAAACTAGACTCGGACACCGTGCGTGCGTTTGAAATGGAGCATCGTTGCTCTGAGTTACCGTCATTCTACTCCTTAGCTTCCTTTGTACGAGATCAAATTAAAGTGATACAACGTTCCTCGAATGTCAAACAAGAAGTTAACAAATGTGTCGATCGCAGACAGATCTCATCAACTAGGACCGCTGGGTCTCTGACGTACGTAACCGCTGCGCCTACATCGCCTCATAGCACCTGTGTTCTATGTAAGAATAAACAATACGGTAATTTGTATAATTGTGCGACCTTCCGTAAACATTCACCCAGCGAACGTTATAGAATAGTAAAGATGAACAACTTATGTTTAAATTGCCTAAGCGATAGACATTTAGTTGCTAAATGCAATTCTAGTTCCGTGTGTAACAAGTGCGCCAGCAGACATCACACGTTATTACATTTCGAAAGTGGCAACATATTCGCGTCGAGTAAATCGGACAAGGAAACTACACATACTAAAGTCGACGCTTCTAACGGTCGACCGGGTGACGTCGCCCTGTGCTCACTGTCGAATACGGGAACGCAGTCTCCTTCCACCTTGTTGCTGTTGCAGGGTACAGCTCGTACCGTAGTTAGGGATTCGCGTGGAAACGAACAAAGTGTTCGTGCGTTGCTAGACAGCGGATGACAGAGTAGCTTTATAACGCGACAAGTTGCCAGCGTTTAGGATTGCTAATAAATAAGATACCTTCATGTCCCGTAGTCAAAGGCATCGGAGGTACTAATAAAATTACCCAGGGCTCTATAAATTTGAAATTTTATTCTCGGCTAGATCGTAGTATTAACTTTAATTGGAGGATTCATTGGAGCATCGCTTTTCCCTCATCTTTTGTTACACAATAAGGTCAGGAGCAACCCCTCGTATACCGCGCCTTACGCACTGGGGACCGCCTTGCGCTACGTCATCGTTGGTTCCGCCCCTATCATTGATAATATTTCGGCAACCTCTTATTGTTGTATGGCTGTCGAACCGCTCGAGTCGTTAGTTCGTAAATTTTGGGAGATGGAGGAGGTGAACGTTCCACCTATAGTTAGCCCATATGATAGATTATGCGAGGAAATTTACGTCCGCACGATCGTTCGTGATCGCGACGGTCGATATAGTGTAGCGCTACCCTTTAAAGGGAATGTTTTGTCTCTCGGCGACTCGCGTCAAATGGCGGAAAAACGTTTCTATTGTTTGGAGCGCAGGATGCTCGCTTCGCCCTGATTGTAAGAAACTTATGACGACGTCATTAATGAATATATAAGGGAGAGTTACATATCACTTGTGGCTATAAAATTAGATAACTACGAAAACACGCCGTCGTATTTCATACCGCATCACGGTGTCATTAGGGAAGACAAACTTACGTCCAAGTTACGTGTAGTGCTACTTTAAAGCGACAGTAGCCTAATGGCAGGGCGCCGACCGTGAACTCAAAAAGGTCGTGGGTTCGAATCCGCCATTCGACTACTGGCGTGTACCACTCGTAACACAAGCAATTTAAGCTTACCACGAGTGGTTTAGGGGAATATTAGTAATGTTTATAGCATTGTTAATATTCTTTAAAAAAAAGTGCTCGATGCTAGTGCTGGAACTTGCACTCACCTTTCTCTTAACGATATTCTCTATAGTGGGCAAAATTACATGGCAATTTATTTAATATAATAGCAAATTTTCGTTTGTTCAGTATAGCACTATCCGCCGATATTCGCCAAATGTTTCTTTGCATAGGGGTCCGTGAATGCGACCGTCGATTTCAACGCATTTTATATCGCTTTGACCCAAAGGAACCTCTAATGGTGTTTGAATTTAATCGCGTTTGCTTTGGTTTAAAGTCGAGCCCATTTCATGCGCTACGCACGGTGAGACAGCTCGCTCACGATGAAGGTCTCTCTTATCCTAAAGCTAAGAGGGCAATTGAGAGCGGATTATATATGGATGATTTTGTGTATTCGGTCGATAGCGTGGAGGAGGCCACCCTAACCACCGCCGAAGTCATAAGGCTCATGAAATCGGGTCAATTCGATCTTGTGAAGTGGACTAGTAATTCGCGTACGGTTTTAGATACAATCCCACTATCACACCGCCTTTCGGTGATAAAGGGATTCGACGATTCTGATACGCACAAGGTGCTCGGTTTGTGTTGGTCACCGGAGTCCGACGTCTTTAGCCTTAAGGAAAACCCGCCCGCAGAAACATGCACAAAGCGCACAATGCTGTCATGCGTTGCTAGATTATGGGATGTCATGGGTTTCGTAGTCCCGGAGGTGCTATAAGTTTTTGATTAAACAACTTTGGTTATCCACTTCAACGTCCAAGCGACGCGGCAACAATACCCTTGAACGTCCCGGCCCCGGTCGTTGATGTTTTTATACGGTCGGATCGCGACCAGTTCGACTAAAACGGTTACCATGGAGAAAGTTATTTACCTATATCAGA